GCGGTTTGTTTGACCAATGAGATGTTAGCGTATATCATCACGAGACCGCAAATTTTTATGCGGTTGCTATGTATAATGTGGAGTTGTGCAGGGTGTCATAAATGGAAAACCAGCTTACATAGCATACAGCGTGGTATTTGGTGTCCAGTATGTGAAGTTAATTCTTTAAGACACGATCTCCAAATTGCAAGAGATCTGGCTTTAATAAAGAAGGTAAGTGTCTTTCAGAAAAATATAATAATATTATGTTTCCGCTCTTATGGGAATGTTTTAATGGACATCAATGGAATGCATCACTTAATAGTATTAAAAATAATAACACATGGTGTTCACATTGCAGTAAACATAAACATGAAAATTTATGTCGCGAAATTGTAACATATATTGGACCACCATCTAAGATACACCGACCTGAATTTCTTAAAACCTTAGAACACCCTAAAGGATTAGAACTTGATATCCCTACTATAACCATGACTTTGTAATTGAAGTACAAGGTGTACAACACGAAGAATTTTTTCATGAAGGAAATTCCAATAATTTTATATATTAAACAGCAAGAACGGGATCAACTTAAGAAAAAATTATGTGAAGAAAATGGCGTACAGTATATCTCTTTCACATGTGGTATAATGATAAAGATCCTGAAAAGATTATTCGACAAGAACTATATACACTAGGACTTATTGACTAATCATTTTCAGGTCTCACTAATAACATTTTATAATTCAATATAAATTTGGCAATACTTTTTTTTAAAATGTCAAGGGCATATCCCAACCTAGTCTAATCGCTAATGGATCATCGATTGGCTTAGTAAAATCAAAAACTACGAAATTCCGCTCTCGCAGGTGCTTGTCAATAAACTTGGATGCCTTTTTCGGATCATCCATATATTGACGCACGATTCTATAGATATTGTCCTGCCTCCACTTCCTCGGACCATAACTAGACGGAAAATATTTTCACGAATTATCTTTGGTACGGCCTGATATTTCTGAGTTACGTATATTGGCGAGATGTTTTGATGCCGACCACTAATAAAGTAAGGAACGATGCGCTCTTGTATTTTTTTTTTTGATTCAGCACAGAGGTCTTTAAAAACAATAACAGTACAGTATAATTATTTAATTAAAAAAACAATAATCATCTAACTTGTCTGATATTTTTACAAAATTCTTGTATTAGTTTATTTTACAAAAATTTATTCTAATAAATTTACAGTCATTATAAATTTAAATATATAATTTTCGCAATACAATTTAATGGCTTGCTAATAACACGAATAGATTTTTAAAACTGTTACCAATAGTAAATATAACCCAAAACAATTATTAAATTTAAATAATTTTATAACTAGAAAAATAAATTTTCATCTAACAAGTAAATAATTATTAATATAAATTAATATCAAATTTAATTAATCAGAAATTTTTTCTATTTTATACGATTGATTCTATATTAATTTTTGAAATACATTGTAAATTACCATAATTGAAGTTTGCTTTCGAAAGTTTTACTCTCTCTTGCCTCCCAATACCCGCCATTATAAACCCATTCCTCGCCTTCTAATTTAAACCATTGCGGAACCCATGCCTCACCTCTATCTTCAAGCAATTTTCTATATTCCCTTTGTTTTTGTTCAAGACGAAGCTTTTCGGCTTCAGCTTCTTGTATCTGTCCATTCTCAAATAGTCTTTGATCTGGTCTAAGTCTAGTATCAGTATTTGGTAAGTATTCTTCAATGTCTGGTGTTAATTCATTTAATTCTACACAAAATTGTGTAAATCCATAGTATTGTTCATGATTTGGTAATGATGGATTTACTTTCCAAATTACTTCTAACTGATTTGGTCCTCCTTTTTCATGAAATATCATCTCATTCCATTTGCCACCAATTTTCCCAACATTTTCGCCTTTTTCTGAAAACAATAATCCGACTATTTCGCTCTTTGGTGCACTACTCCACATTCCGCTTTGATTAAATTTGATCTCACAGGCTTCTCCCGTCGTTTTATTTTCTACGCGCATTACACCTACATGTTCTAAATATTTTGTACCGGATATCATGTTACGCACGCATGTAGAAGGTTTTGAATATGTAAAATGATCATTGTATTTTGGTATTGCTACGTGTATTGTACCGACTGGTATAAGTTCCTATCATTATTAATCATTATTTGTTATTATTATTATTATTATTATTATTATTATTATTTTAGAAAATATATATATATATATGCTGGTAGAACGCATTAATAATAAAATTTTTATGCATACCATCGATTTACCTAAATCCGAGATTTGTTTAAAATAAAGCTGTTAAAATCAATATTAAAAAATAAATGCATAATCTAAAAATAAATTCACAAGTCCGTTACTTACCCCAGAATTTACTTTTGATTTTCGAATCTTGCCAGTAACTCCAGTTCGGAGAATTGGCATGGCACTATAAAATTTATAAATATTAAAATAATTTGTTGAAAAAAATACAACAATATAGTGTGTATACTTACTGCCATTATCGGCGGATAGTGGCTAACTTTCTCTGAAATAAACCTAAATCCTATTCGAATATATTATAGTATAAACATCAAGGTAAAATTGCATCACTTTTAATTATAATTTCCATACCTTTATCCGGTCGAACACATTCGTAGGTCTCACCATGAAGAGGATTATAAGGTTTTCTACCTGTCCTGTAATAGGTTGAAGCATATCCTGATACTGCAAATGCTGTTACATGGATCAATCTATCCAATGAATTATCTAGACTCGCAGCCTTATCTAATAATTCACTATATTCTAAGGCTTCCGCCATATTTTGTAAAATATTTATAGGTTCATTAAGGGAAATTGGCATTGCAATTGTTGACAAATCTTTACCAACATTTTTTCTTAAAATAGAAAGTAAACTGACATCTTCACCACAAATAGGCGCAGGAAGAACTTTCCTCCTCTGTATTAACATTGGTTTATTAATATCAGATTTGATTGAAGGTTTATCGAGAATTTTATCCACTGGTGAAGGCTGATCGAAGTCACTTTCTTCGTCACTAATATTAGCGTTAGTGACATCTACGTCACTTTCTGTCACTGAAAGATCTTCAGCCAAGTCAATATCTTCAGCATCAAAGAACACATCCGAGTGAGTATTCATAGTGCTCATAGAAATAGTTTTGAGTTTTTTTATATCATAATCCGTCATTTCGGATGTTTTATCAGAATGTCCATTTTCTAACCTTTCATCAAAGCTATCTGATTTAAAAAAGGACTTGCTCAAATCAGCATTTTCTGCTACAAGTTTATTATATGAATATTCCAATGTTTTCCATTTCTCAATTTCAACACGTAATAAATTAAATGCTTGGTCCTTTTCTTTTTTTAGAATTTTAATATTGGCAGTTAATTTCTCACAAATTTGATCTAATGGCATCTGCGAGGGTGGTATAATTTGTTCTGTTGTTCCTAAAAATAGATACACCACAGATGTCAGTGATAAATACTTGTATTATTTATTTTCCGATTTCTTTAATTACCTCGTTGCAAAGGCAGAGTAAACTTTTTACGAGGTTTTCCTTCAATGTTCGGGCTTGGTTGAGCAGATTTAGGATGACCATTAGGAACTTGATTTTCAATTGCACTTTTAAAAATATCCAAATCATTTTCAATAGTTTTGAACTCATTTTCCATGTTATTAAATACACTGTAAATTTTTTTAAGGTCTTCATCTAAGTTATTTTGAAGAAAATAACTTGAAATATCACCATTTTTATTTATGCTTTGCCGTTTTTCCATCAAGGATTGCCGCTTAAAATATAAACTCTGCCGCCTCTCAAGATCACCTGAATGCTGAGAAGCTACTCTGGGATATTCAGGATCACAAAATTGTCTTTCATTAGAAAGATTTATATATTTACGAATAACGGTCATCCATTCATCAAATTCATCATCGGTGAACGCTTTAAAATGATATGTCACTGTTCCAGAATCCATATTTATTAAACGTAATGATTGACTGGATGAAATGGCTGAAAGAGCAATATGTATCGTTCCTCGACAAAGACTATGGGAATGTTGATAATATGAAAGCAAACCATTGTCAATTTGGACCCAACGTTTTGCCCAACCTGTATAACCATTAATGTATGAATAAAGAAGGTAAATTTCAACAAATTCTAGATTTACATATAAGTAGGATTCTAACCTTGCATTTTTTTCTTCTTTTTTTTTAACAACCAACCGGCAATATCTGGTTTGGGTTCTTCTTGGTCATTATCTAAATCTGTACAAATTTAATTTGTGTTAATTTTGAAATTTAAATGTCATGTGATTGGAAGTCTAAAAACAACATACCATCTTTTAATGTCACCAAAAGTGATAAAGACTTGGAGGTAGTCCGTGAAAACGAATTATCTTTTAAGATAAATATATGAAAAATTATATAAATATGATTGCATATTAATTCAGCTAATATTGGAAAATAAATAACAGTATTTATTACCGAAACATAAACAATAGGTTCCTTCTTCAGTTACTTTATAACTGCCTTTAATTGTGTTCATGGCGGAATTATAATGTTCGATAGGTAATATCTCTTTTAAATCAGGATCTTTAATTATTAGCGTAGAACCAGTTTTCTTACGTCCTCTGTTTATAGAATTCGAATCCACTAATGTGGAACCCACATCGCCTTCATTCGAATCATCATTCTCTTCAGCCTTGATTGTTTCCAAGGAATTTTTACTTTTAAGACTAGCTGAATATGTACTTTTTGTCGAAGATTTAGGTGTGATGATTGTATTTTTTATAGAAGCAGAAAATAAACTACTTCCTTCTTCTTTAGAAGTTCCCGTCGAACCTGAAGTCGCGATTGCAGCTTTTCTTTGGTACAATCCAAACGAAATATTTTTTTTCTTAGTAGAAAAGGACCATATAATAGTTTTTCCTGTCGGTACATTGACATAGTGGACGAAAATGTCTCTAGGAGGGACTTCAACTTCTTGCATATTAAAAAATTGAGTGAAGTGAGCAAAAGCATAAAAGATACACAAACTGCATGCGTTTGTGGTTTGCTTTCTTATAAATGTAGTGAAACAAACGTTAAACTAACCGTACAAGTACTGATGAAACCAAACCAAGCATAAAGATTATTACTATGCCATCTTCGCGTTGGAAAAATTAATTGGTTTTTATTAGTACACCATACAATCGGACAATTCTGTATCTTAATTATTTTACCGTTACTGCTGTACTGAATTATGTATGCATGCCGATCATTTTTACCCGTGTCTCCTCTTCACCAATTAGAATCTTCAAATTTTATCGCATGCGCAAAAATTAACCAAAAAAAAACAAGATTACAATTACGTAGGTATGTGCGTGTACGTATTACAATGTTGGTGCAGATCAGTAGCACCTAACGATTACGATAAACAAAAGAATTAGGATTCGCAGAAAAATCCCTATCCGACCATTATTAGGCAAAAAATTAGGATTATTAAAGGTCTGAAGGACTATATTGATATTCAAGTTTCTTTGGTTTTTATTTCTAATCACCCAACTAACGCTAAAAATTAAAATGACCTACATTATAAACAACCAATCAAATTTAACACAGACATCGGGTGTACTATCGTCTGTCCTTCGGACAATTACTCTGCTACCTAAACAAAAATATTCTGTACGTTAAAAATGGAATACGGATCATACCAATATTTCCTTAGCATAAACAAATGGATCATACTTTCTAACTATAGAAAATTTTTATTTGATCAATTGACATTCACCTCGTTCAGTGGGTTGTTTCAGCTGCAGAATTATTTCGGATGAAATAGCACTTTGTCTCAGAAAATAAAAATATTTTTTTTATATTGATTCTTGAAGTTTTATATTACTAACCAATTCGATTCACTCGGGTCACTCTCGTCACTCGGATTGTTAAAAAAATTCTAACACAAGTCACTCATCTGTGAGCTACCCGGGCATTACCCAGTCTTAAGACTAACTGTGGTTTATCGGTTTAGACGACATCCAAAAGAGTTTCTAATAACGATAAGTTTGAATTTGAATTCGAAATTAGGAATATTGCCGAACATATTTAGTGCTGCATTAAGCTTTGTATACTTGAGACTAATTTTCACATTGTTTGAGCTACGTCCTTAGACGAAATACAGTATAATAATTTTTTAGATCGTGGATGGGTTACATACATAGTAATTATTATCAATTAAAATGATAAATTAAGCCACTTGAATTAAATTTTCATGTTGTAATGGCGTCACAGATACCAACACTTTGAGGTCACAATATTCAATTAATTAGTCTCACAAATAGTTAGTCAAAAATAATTTAGTCATTTCCCGGTGTTTACTATACAATTAGAGGTGGAACCGACTTATCTGAACGACCAAATTTTACTAATTATTCGGATAAAATTATTATTTACAAGTCGTCATTGGCTAATTGATGATTGGACTTAATTATGTTTATGCATAACACAAGATAAAGTCCATGATCATAAGTGTCTCCGAATATCTGTTGGAGTTAGTCAATGCCACCAATAGTGCCGATACTCGCCTGAAGTATCCTTGTTGATACATATCATATAGATATGCATATAATGGTAATGAATTGTTTCTTAAATTTATTAAATGCGAATCAAGAACGAACTTTTTGAGTGGCAGAGCATGTGAGGTGTAATCGGAAAATGCACTCCCGCTTGTACTTATCATACATATCAGATATAGTGACAAATTTGATCGTTGCTTATTTCGCAAATTAGGAATATTACGATTGATTACTCCCTTAACTATAATGAATGTTACAGTTCAGTTCCGAAAGCGGTAGTTTATGTAATTTATACGTATGCATTACTTTCCGTACTTAAGCTTCTGAGTTTTTAATATCTTTCTTTAACCTACTTTTATTTAAAAATATTTAGATTTTTGTTAAATATTATAGACTTAATTGATTTTAGAATTGTGGCCTTTGTTATGTAGGTTATTCATTGGCTGATGAAAAAGTTCTTATTGTTTGCCAATTTGTAAATTAATCAAAACTTTTGGTATACAGATTTTTTCTATTTTTTATATAATGGGTGTTCTCTCGCGTAATGAAATAAAGAAATACTTGGACGAAAAGTACATCGTTTATGATTCTTGCAATATAAAAACGATTGACCATCTATTAACATACTTATTATTCTAAATATTATTCTTGATCTTTTTTCTTCCAAATTGGTTCTAAAAGGAAACTTATAATCGAACCCTTCGATCAAAAAAATGTCGGAACTGCAAGGTTTGTACATTTCTAGAAAAAATAATATATATTTAAAGCTTTGATCAAATATTTTTTCCTTCATTTAATAATTATACCCTCACTTCTACTTCAAACAGCGTTGACCTAACTCTTTCAGATGAATTTAGATACTTTATTCATCATAATGGGCCGGTTCCAATTAGTGATGAAGCCGGCGCTAAAGATTACCAAAAGTTTTCTCGTGTAGTAAGTATGAAAGCCCATTGAAATTTTAGTTTCGTAACAGAAACGTTTAAATGATAAGGTGTTATAAATTGGGTTCATAAAGACATAAATACATGATATCTTAAACATTAATGTCACGATATTGAATTCTAGTTGAAAGTAGAGGAAGGTAAACCGTATTATCTTGGTCCCGGTCAAATGTGTTTAGGTGACTTATTTTACATCCTTATCAATGATTACTTTTTCTAAGTAATAATGTAGTTGTTTGATTCTAGGAATCACGCGGGAAATGGTCTCATTACCTTCAGACATTTGCGCATTAGTAGGTATAGTAAACTGTCATTATTATATCATTAAGTCATATTCTCGTCATCTTATTACGTCTAAAATCTATTTCATGAGCAGAAGGGCGATCCAGGTTCGCTCGATTAGGTTTGTCCGTACACATTACTGCCTCATTTATTCATCCTGGTGTGAAGAATCAAACGGTTTTGGAAATTTTTAATGCTTCGAGTCTTACATTGGCTCTTCATCCAGGCACTAAAGTTTGTCAAATGATTTTTATGACTATGGAAGGACAAGCTGAATATTCTGGAATTTTCCAAGGACAAGCTCTATAACAATTTATACGATGTTATTTGGATTTCATTTTATTTGTTAATGGAGGTAATAATACATGTTGTAATATGAAGTATCTTAATTGTTTGTTTTATAAATTTTACTTGATATGTACAATGGAATTATATTAGATGTTAGACTACACTAATGATCTGTAAACTCTAATTCAAAGAAACATTAAATCCTAATTTTTATAATCTATAATGTTTATACTCGATTAAGTATAGAATACGCATGTTTTAAATGTTAGCCGAGTAGAGCTTAACTTATTAAAAAATCGTACTATGTGACTCAGATGTGTGTTAGTATTTTTATATATTATACTCAACTTAGGAGTGATTTTGTTGCGTCTGACTTTGACTAATCCAACAAATATCTTATTTATCCACGAAATTTCGCAGAAATTCTCACCCTTCGAACCGTTAATTGATCTTTGTATATATCAATCAACAAATGTATGCCTCTTAATCTACAAGCAAGTATATTTACTAAGAGGTCGACATCGGTTTATGAATCCAATTTTTTATAGCTAGTTCACTATAGAATATCATTGCAAGATGCAAATTTTACTTTATCAGCATCTTTTATAATATTTCTAAGTAGAGTTTTATGCCTTTTTTTTTCGAATTACCCTGCATTATATAATATCGCTCTCGTAATTCTTAAAGAATCAACTAAATTTATTTTTTCAAGAGTAAGTCGTCCTCCCATAAAATCACACAGTTGGACACATAGTAAATTTTTTTTCAAAATGTGCTTATATAGGAGTTGTGCTTATATGGAGGTCTTTTTCTTATAAATTGAATCATAGTTTGGCCTAAACATAAATGTGATTACATATGGTGTGATTTTATGGGAGGTGACTATATGAGTAATTATTTTTGAATGCCATATATATAAATTGGTCCGGGTAAAATAATTACCCATATGGAGGGACGACTGTATAATTTATCGGCTCAAACTTTGGAATTTCGATTTGAATTATGCTCTTGATAATAAACTTGCCATACGTGTTAAGAGTTTATACATTCAATTATAGAAACTCATTTCAAGAAGCACTATTAGAGTGTGCAAAAAAGTACAAAACTTATTGTAAAATGCCGTTAATTCCGTTTAATTAAAACAATTTCCGGTTCGATTTGTTATCGGGCAGAAATTTTCCGTTGTTTATAATATATACTAAGTATAATACGATATACATAGTTTTTAATAATATATAGTATCATTATTAAAATTACTACTTCTGGCTGTGGTTTAAGTTCCTGTTAAAAAAAGCATTTCCGAAAAGTTTGTGCACTGATGTATTTTATTGGTTACATAGAAATGTGCTTTTTGAATAATAATATTGTGGTAGTTTTTATTTTTCGTGTCTTCTAATTCATTTTAATTACTAGCTCTGTTTACTCTTTGACTGTCTCTCTTATAATCTGTCTTCACTGTTCTAATATTACAACTAATTTTTTAATTTAATATATTTAAGAGAAGTTCTATTTTGACCCGGGTCAAAATGACCCTTCCTAGAATTTAGGGTTAGTGCGGGTCAGAATTATGTTAATGCCTGCCGGGTTTTTTTATTACAAAAACCCCGGCCGGCATTAATATAATTCTGGCTCGCACTAACCCTAAAATTTTGCTGAGGGTCATTTTGACCCGGGTCAAAATAGAATTTCCCATATTTTAATTATATAAATATTTTAAACCTTCAAGTTTTACTAGTATAGCTATAGTTACAATTATCTTATTTTAACTAATTAGCTAATACAGTTAGCTATAATACAAGCAAAATTTTTAAATTTTGTTATCAGTAGAATTTGAACTTTTGATATATTACTTGGGTGACAATTTAACTACTTCACTAAATCATCATATTCTTTTTTTATAAAAAATTAGTATTTTATTGTTTATT